CAGGAAGTGATGACACTTCTGCAAAAAGGGGCTATAGAAAGGGTTCCTCCTACCAGCAGAGAGTCAGGGTTTTACAGCCGATACTTCATCATTCCCAAGAAAGATGGGGGGTTACGTCCTATTCTAGATCTGCGTCAGCTAAACAGCAGAGTTCAAAAGCTCAAGTTCAGGATGCTTACACTCAAACAGATCGTGTCACAGATTCAGTCCGAAGACTGGTTTGTCACAATAGACTTGAAGGACGCTCATTTTCACATATCCATCCATCCTCATCACAGGAGGTTCCTGAGGTTTGCTTTCGGGGCGAAGCTTACCAATATCGGGTCCTTCCATGAGGTCCTTGATGTTGATGTCACACATTAAAAAGTTGGGTTTACGGCTAAACGCCAAGAAAAGTGTGCTCCTCCCTGTACAGAGGACCACTTATCTAGGGGTAGTGTGGGATTCAATAACTATGCAAGCATGATTGTCTCCAGCAGGTATTTCTGTGATCCTCACAGCTGTAAAGAATGTGAAAATAGGCCAGTCACTCACTGTGAAACAGTTTCAGAGACTGTTGGGGCTCATGGCAGCTGCGTCCAACGTAATCACTTTTGGCCTTCTGCACATGAGACACCCCTGCAGTGGTGGCTCAGAACCAAGGGGTTTTCTCTGAGGGGAAATCAATTTCGCACGATCAAGGTCACGCGGCAATGCCTACGTGCCTTGGTCATGTGGAAGATACCTTGGTTCCTCGCCCAGGGCCCAGTTTTGGGGGTTCCTTGTTGAAGCGTCACGCTATCGGCTGATGCTTCCCTTACAGGCTGGGGGGCGGTCATGAGTGGCCGTTCGGTGACAGGTCTATGGCAGGATCATCAACAGTCATGGCATATAAACCAACTAGAAATGATGGCAGTATTTTGGGCTCTCAAATACTTCCGGCCAGACCTGAGAGGCCATCATGTTCTTGTCTGCACGGGCAACACATCGGTGGTCTCTTACATCAACCATCATGGGGGTCTGAGGTCCAGAGTATTATACAAGTTGGTTCGGCAGATCTTCCTATGGGCCCAGGGGAAATTGTTGTCACTCAGGATATATATTCGACAATATACAATATATTCCAGGGTGTCAGAATGTGGGGGCCGATATTCTGTCGAGACAGAGGCCCGGGGAGTGGAGACTTTACCCTGAGGTGGTGGAGCTCCTATGGGAGAATTTCGGTCAAGCTCAGGTCGATCTTTTTGCAACTCGGGACACAACTCATTGTTCACTATGGTTCTCTCTCACGCAGCCAGCTCCTCTCGGACTGGATGCGATGGTGCAGCTACCTGCATGCTTTTCCCCCGATATCAATCCTGGGAGTTCTGGAAAGGGTTCTCCAGGAAGGGGCTCATCTGTTATTAGTAGCCTCGCACTGGCCGACCAGAATTTGGTTTGCGGACACAGTGTGCCTCTTGGACGGCTCTCCGATGGACATTCCGGTCAGGAGGGATCTGCTTTCCCAGGCGGGGGGCACGATATTTCACCCTCGCCCCGAGTTGTGGAAACTATGGGCTTGGCCTCTGAGGGGGCCCAGCTCGTAAGTGCTGGTCTCTCGACCGAGGTCATGGAGACAATCCTTCAATCCAGAGCTCCCTCCACTGTAGTATTTGAAATGAAAATTGTTCTCTGCATGGTGTGGAGAATGTGCTTTAAATCCTGTTAACTGCCCGGTTGGTACAGTTCTCGATTTCCTTCAGGACCGTTTCTCTGCTGGATTATCTCCCTCCACCTTGAAGGTGTATGTTGTGGCTATATCTGCCTTTAGATCCCCTGCGGAGGCTTCTTCTCTTGGGAGAGATCCTCTAATAACTCATTTTCTCCATGGAACATTTAGGCTGAGGCCTGCCTTGCACTCCAGAGCACCGGCTTGGGACCTGGCCATTGTACTCGAGGGTCTGGCTTTGGCTCCCTTCGAGCCTATCGAAGAGGTTTCAGAAAAGTTCCTCACTTTAAAGGCTTTGTTTCTTCTCGCTATTTCTTCTATTAAGAGAATTGGAGATCTGCAAGCTCTGTCGGTCGCTCCTTCATGTTTGGAATTCGCACATGAGTATGGTTAAAGCATTTTTATACCCTAGGCCGGGTTATATTCCTAAAGTCCCTACTAATGTGATGGGTCCTATTGTGCTGCAGGCCTTCTGTCCTCCACCTTTTAATATGTTCAGAAAAGTCTCAATCTGTTATGTCCAGTTAGGGCATTGGATGCCTACGTTCACAGAGCTGCCCTGTGGCGTAAATCAGAGCAATTATTTGTCTGCTTTGGTTGAACTAAGAAAGGTTGCCCGGCATTGAGACAAGTAATGAGTAAATGGATAGTTGAGGCTATCTCTATTGCTTATAAGGCGGCCGGACGTCCCCCACCTATGGATGTCCGCGCCCATTCTACGAGGAGTATGGCTGCCTCTAAGGCTTTAATTTCGAGTGTTTCCCTTCAGGATGTTTGTAATGTGGCAGGTTGGTCCTCACCGCATACATTTGTCAGATTTTATGACCTATACCTCTCCACTCCTGGGGCTAGGTTGCTCGCTTCATTTCTCAACATGGCGTAGTGGGTATGGGGTTCCCACCGCGTTCTAACGCAGCTTGAGGTTCCCTTGAAAGGGAACATCTCAGGTTACGTATGTAATCCTGGTTCCTTGAGAGGGAACGAGAGCTGCGTTCGCCTGCCATACTTCCTGCATGCCCTGATCGACTTGCTTCAGGCCTTTTCAGAAGCTGCCGCGGTCTGATTTCAAGGGTGCTATATAGTTTCCTGGTCTATGACGTCACATGACGTCCTACTCTCTCATTGGACTGATTGTACAGATGCTTCACGACGCAATCACGCAGAGCATTCCCACCGCGTTCTAACGCAGCTCTCGTTCCCTCTCAGGGAACCAGGGTTACATACGTAACCTGAGACGTTTTCTTTGTCGAATGAAGTTGACGATGCTGACTCGCGAGCTTCATTAGGCCTAGTAAACACGCCAGAGAGAAATGCACATTTCATAAGGATTACATAAGCAGAGAGCAGTCTGTAGTCTGTTTTCTTTCGTTTTGAATTGTTCTGTTTAAAAGTAGACATGTGAGGTGAGTAGCCTACGCCTACCTTATATGCTGAGTTTCGTTAATTTATGAGACGAGCTCCAGTTCACGCGCCTGAACCTCGTTTCTTATCAATCGTCTTCTACAGGTAGGTCTATTTACTTCTTATTTATTAAATCCAGGCAATTGGTTGATAAAACATTTATTTGAAATTAAGATTAAATTAATACAAAACGAAATTCAGGTATTTTTTTTTTTTCAATCAGAAATCTGAGGCTACCATAGGTGTTTACCCATACGCCACTGCATGGGAGGATATTTCAGCCCCAACGTTGCCGACTCATGTAGGTTATTTTCTGCTTAGCCAAGACCATGGCCAGAGCTGGTTTACTGCGTACCTATTCGTACTTGAATGGCCAGATTACACTTTAAACTGTTAAAGTGTTGGGTGTGAACTTATGTAAACAATGTAATGAAATATGAAAAGAAAAAAAAGAAAAAAACATAGCGTAGTCTACATAGGCACAACCTAGGCCTATATTCAAATGTTCATTTATATCATATGCTACCTTGATTCGATTTCGCAGGCTAGTGTTTTTTATTGTATAAAGAAATAGACCATGGTGAATATATTTATACAGGTTGTCAACCCTATTTGAATATTTAAAACCAGTTGAATATAAAAAGTCCAGTGCAAGGTAACGTTACTCCCACTCGTCATCGGCAGCTATCAGTCAAAGTTGGCGACAAGAACAATTCTCCGTAGACCAGTCCGAGTGCTTCAGATGCGCACTTTGAAATGGGACGCAGCTGTAGGCCTAGTTAGCAACAATTAGTTAATATTGTGACAATAGACCTACATTTTGTTACTTTAATTTTCAAAATAACCAGTGGGGGAATGTAGGAACTTCATAGCCTTCTTCATTAAGTATTCACGTAAATGTAAAGTAGCCCACTTCTCCCCCTCACAGGACAGCAACACTACGCATTATTTTACATTGAACTACACTAAAGTAGGCAATCCTACAGTTTAAATGTATCAACCTTGCAAACACTCAGATACCATTACAAAAATAAACAATGTCCAGAGCCATGAATTTTATTTTACTTACACATTTAAAATAATAATGTATAGAAATGTATTTTTTCATTTTTGTGTTTCCACAAGACAAATGAAGTCACGCAATGGTGACGAATGAGTTGATGAAAAAGAAGAAAAAAAAAACGTTTGGCTTTTAACTCTGGTTTCTCTGGCTATTTAACTAATGAAAACAATACTTTTACGTTTAAATGTGAATTTTCCATCCACCATTGAACTCTCGACTGCCCTTTAAAAAAATGCTGTCGTCACCAGCGCAATGTTAGAATAAACTGTAGGTGGGATAGACCGCATAGGATCCGTTTATGTATCCTCTCTTTCACGGGGAAATAAAGGGTGAATCTTTTTTGAATCAGGGTAGCATTTGTCGCGCCGCGATGATGCAACCGGCCTTCGAATACGGCCTTCAGAGGATGCAGAACTGAATTGGGACAGCCTTCATCGTGCCGCGGTGACACAATCGGCCTTCAAATGCGACCTTCGGAGGGTGCAGCCTTAGAATTGGGACAGTGTTCGTCGCGCTGTTGTGACGCAATCGGCCTTCAAATACGGCCTTCAGAGGATGCAGCCTTCACATTAGGACACAGCTTGTGTATGTCTCCCTTATTTAACACACCTGATTCAGATCCTCAGCTCGTTAGGATAGACTCTATGAATTGAACTGAGTGTGTCAGATAAGAGGGATATACAAAATGTGCAGAGCAGTGGGTCCTGAGGACTGGATTTGAGAACCACTGCTTTTGACTATGCAAATATCAGCCATCACAATCTACAAAACTGATCCAGATTTAAGATTCCTTCTTAACTATACTGTGGAAATGTTGCCCCCGACTGAATTGCTATTACAGACTAAAGGTGTATGTAAAAACTGGCAAACTGGTTTCCCTTTACTTCTGAATTAAAAAAAAAAACATTAAATAAATGTACTGATGTGTCTCTTCCATGCATCACTAGCTTGCTGCTCAGGTTCTCGAAGACAAGGATATTGGTTTTGGAATGGTAGACTCACATAAAGATGCTAAAGTTGCCAAAAAGCTTGGTAAGAAGATTTGTTTTGAATTACTGTGCTAATAACAACATTGCTTTGTAGATTTAAAATTTCCAGTAACACTTCCTTTCACAGTTCTGTTACCCATGTACATACTATGTTCTTATTGTAGTAATTGCAATTACTGGCCTGGGTAATAACTAGGTCCTAACCCTGAAACTAACCCTAAACCTACCCCTAACCCACATTCTTACCTTATATTAGCCAGTACATTCTAGGTAAGTACACTGTAAGTACACTTAAGTACTGTACTGTAAAAGGAAGTGTTACCAAATTTTCTTACCTATTCAATATTGGTATCTTTGAGGTTAGGTCCTGACTGAAATGTGATCTTTGTTCATTAGGTCTGGAGGAAGAAGGAAGCATTTATGTTTTTAAGGATGAAAGAGTGATCGAGTTTGATGGAGAGCTCTCTGCAGATACACTGGTTGAATTTGTGCTGGATGTGAGTGAAATTTGCTGGTCAGATCTCTGACTGTAGTTGATTTTATGATATCTTAGCAGAGTCTATCTGAATTCTTCATTAACATCACATATTTATAAAAATAAGATTCATGTTCTGGATCAGCATTATTGTAATTTTTGGATATTATTGCAGGAATATTAAACACAAACTTTAGGCTTGTGAATACTGTGGCTCAATGGAATATACTAACATTTGACACATTACCTTTCTTCCCTTCTCTGTGTGTGTCACCTCATTCTTTAGCTACTGGAGGACCCAGTGGAGTTGATCAGTAACCCCATGGAACAACGTGCTTTTGAGCGAATGGATGAAGACATACGCCTTATCGGGTACTTCAAGGGTGAAGAATCTGAGTGTGAGTGGCCTGTTTGCCTCTCATTTAAGTATGTATGTAAAATTATAATTTTGTGGACATGCTCTAATAAGTATGACTCATTGTGGATTTTTGAAGAAGTATGATTCATTGTGGATTTATGTGTTTATGAACTAGTTATATAGTATTTTTTTTTTTTTTTTGGCTCAACATTTTTATCAACTCCGACATAATGACTTGACATTTTGGATCTCAAAGATCTCTTATTTAAGGCTGGTATCAGATTTTTTTTTTTTATGTCCAGATTATATTTGTATATATTTATTTAATGTAGAGTTCTTCTATTTCTATTCCATGGTGTCAGGGGTCTGCCCTAGCAGCCTTGTCTGTGTTGTCATTGTTTCATGTCTCTGTTTGTGTTTTGTGTCAGCACATGGCTTTGCCTTTGTTTGTGTTTGCCATGTGCTTCTCTTGTCCCACCTCCTTGTTTTCCGTTATCATGCCCCCATTTTTAGTCCTTGTTTCACTAATTGTGTTGACCTGGTCCTCTTCTGCCATTTTCCCTCTTTTCTTTGCTGGTTTGTTGTGTGCCTTGCCTTGATAATCTTGTCCTGTATTTATCATCTTGATAGTTTTTGATCTTTTTTATTATAAGTTATAGATTTTGCTGTATTTTTTCCCCATTCCTGTTTTAGGCTTATCTAGTTCCCTTTCAAAACGTTTCTTTTTAAGGAAAACAAATTTTTCTCTGAATTCTGAAGCCTCTAATTCAAAAAGTGCAGTGCCTACTGCACAGCCACAACAGAGTGGCAATCTGAGCACTAGGGATGGGCAAATGAAGCATCATGAAGCACAGAGGCTTTCCCCTGATTGTTCCGGGAATAGTTTCAAAGCTTTGAGAGTGTCAAAAACAGCGCCATCTGGTGTTTAGCAAAAGCAGCCAAGACCCTGTGAAAGAAGCTTCATCGGACAAAGCAGCTACTTTCTGTTTTCTCTCTGTGATAAAAATATTTCTCTCAGCCCCCCCCCCCCCCCATCATGACGAGCTGCCGTCTAAACTGATTCAGCCCATAGCCACCAAGTCCCAGTGCATAGAAAGCCATCCCCTGCCTGTCAGAATGGGTGCTAAACATGGTGATACAAGGTTACTTGCTTCAATTTGCTCAAAGACCACCCCACTTCTGGGGCATAGTCCACACTTCGGTCAGGAGCAACGTAGCACACGTCCTCCGCGCCAATTAATGATTTTTCTGGTGAAACGAGCTGTAGAGACAGTTCCTCCTCCCCACAGCTAGTCAGGCTTGTACAGCTGCTACTTTCTCGTTCTCAAGAAGGATAGCGGCCTCAGGCCCATATCAGACATTTGAATCGTGTCCTCGTGAGACAGCTGTTCAAGATGCTAAAATTGAACGAATCCTCTCACAAGTATGCCGAGGGTATTGTTTTTTCTTCTTCAGTGGATCTAAAAAATGTATACATTCATATCCAAATAGTCCCCCGTTGCAGACTGTTTTGAGATTCGTTTTCGAAGGGATGGCCTACCATTATACGGTCCTACCTTTTAAAGTGTCTCTGGCACCATGCACTTTTATAAAGTGCATGGATGCAGCACTTTCCCACATGAGACAGAAGGGGATGCGTATCCCCAGTTACTTCGACAACTGGCTCATCCTGACCCAGTCAGAGGAAGAGTTAATTTTTTTAAGATTTGTGCTCCTCAGCCATATGAAATGCATTGGACTCCAGCCAAAATGTCTCCCAGCCAGAAAATCTCTTTCCTGGGAGCAGTTCTAGACTCCGCCCAAATGAGGGTGTGGCTAACCCATGACTGTTCAGCGGCACTCCATTTCGTTCAGTCGCCTCCATGTCAAGGTGGACCATGGCTGCATCACAGCCCTGGCCCCTCGAAAGGACCCCAATCATTATCAGATTGGAGTGAGTATTGGGCTGGTCTCGAGAAAAAAGGTGGTCACGACGGAAGCTTCCGACACAGGTTGGGGAGGTTTGTGCAAGGGCAGACCGACTTCCGGCTCCTGTTTGAGCACAGAAAAGTGGCTGCATATCAACTGCCTGGAAATAATGGTGGTTTTTCTGGCCCTCAAAACCTTCCTACCAGACCTAATAGTACATCACATCTTAGTCTGGTCAGAAAACATGGCTGTAGTGTTCTACAAACACCACCATGGTGGACTCAGGTCACGGCCTCTTTATAGACTAGCCCGACTCCTATTATGGTCACAATGCAAACTTTTCTCTCTGAGAGTGGTGCATGTGCTGGGCAGACTGAATCGGGGAGCAGACATTAAACCAATCTGGAGTATCTTCCACAAGGCAAAGGTCGACTTCTTCTCCTCCAAAGGCAACTCTCATTGCCCAATATTCTTTACAAAGAACATGGATGCACTGGCCCACTAATGGCCAAGCTTTCCCCTTTATGCCTTTCCCCCAGTAGCGCTCCACCTTCAGGTCATCAAATGGATCAGAGAAGACAGGTGTACTGTCCTTATGGTGACCCCTCTCTGGCGGACCCAACTGTGGTTCCCCAAGTTGATTCAGCTGCTTACAGCAGCCCCATGGCCAATTCCCTTGTGGAAAGACATCCTTTTGTCACTTCCGGGTCCCGAGTGAACGAGTTTGGCTGCCGCTTCTCTCCGGATTTTTTTGTTTGTTTTTGTTTGTTTGTTCACAACATATTTGTTTTATGTTTTGTTTTATGTTCCGTGCGCTATTTTAAACATTACCGGATCTGTGATAGCATCACAGCATCACATCACCGTAGCCAGCGCAGGACTGAGTCCTGTTGCCCTGGAGGCTTGTTTGCTTATTTCGTGCTGGATTACTGAACCTGGACAGGAGACCTACTACGCATATTGACTGCTACTAAAACGTGGAATTAATTCATTCATCTCCTTGGATTGTCTGACTCAGTTTGGCTCATTAAAGATTGCAAGTGTTTCCCTCTAGCCAGCGCTACACCCGGCGAGGAGACCTAACGTACTATGCTTACTGACTGATACCTAAACGTGGAATTATTTCACTCATCTGCTTGGATTGTTTGGACTGGTCAAGACTGCTAAGTGTTTGCCAAACTGATGTGTAGCTGTCACGCCCCCTTTTCCCTGTTCTGCTTTATGCGAGCCCTCTCAGAACTGATCCACTAATAACGTTCGTTGGTAAGTCTCTGCTTGCTTTGCTTTGTGAGAGAGTTTGTGCCTATTTGAACTGTTTGTTGCTATCTGAGGGATTTGCCACCTCCGTTGCTTGTCCCTCAGAGTGCAAAGTGGTTGCCCTGTTGGCTAACGTGTTAAGTTTACAGAGGTTGGGTCTGAGTGCATGACCATTTTCTGTGGTGTTTTGGTACACTTGTTTGGACTGAGCTAAATGGTGTTCAACACATATCCCATCCTAGTGCATTTAACAATCGTGACGCTGTCCTGGTTTCTTGTCTATTGGCCAGCATACTTATGCTACGGAGAGCCTAATTATACGCATGGGCTCTTCTATGACTCTGGCATGGCATTAAGATACTCATCAACTTATCTACACTACCTCGGGAACAAAGTCTATAAAATTCCAGATGTTCACCGTGCACACCAACATCTTGGATTGCCGCGTTGTCCCAAATATTTAAATAGGGGCTCTGGTCGGAAGTTTACTCGCTACCACCACTCTAACAACATCGATTCACTGTGGGGTTTGTAGAGAGACATCGCCTATCGCGGGGCGAACTGTTGACTTTGAAAACGTACACTCCATAACACTGAAAAAAGACTCTCTGGGCTACCCTGCCTCTAGAAATGCACAGTTTGGCTTGTTTAATGTGAGGTCTCTTAACAACAAAGCACGTTTTATTAATGATGTCATGACTGATGCTGGTATTGATTTATTTTGTTTGATTGAAACTTGGCAGATACCAAATGAACTTATTACAATGAATGAAGCTACTCCTCCTGGCTATGAGTTTGTTGCTAAGCCACGGTTAACTGGCCGAAGAGGTGGCCTTGCTGTGGTCTTCCGCTCCAGCTATAGGGTTGTATCGGTGCCTGTGCAGGATTATACATCATTTGAATATCTAGGCTTGAAATTCACTGGTGGGTCACCACTTCTGTTATTACTTGTTTATCGGTCTCCAAAAATGTGTTCTGTTTTTTTATTAAGGAATTTTCTGAATTACTCGCATCTGTCAGTCCTATGTACTCATCCATCTTGGTGCTTGGCGATTTCAATATACATATAGATTCTGGAAACTGTAATTCCCTTTCGTAGTCACTTCGAGTTACGTCAGAAGTGACGGAGAATGGGGGTTTCGCATAGAAAGCCAATCCTCTTCGAGTATTTAAAAACGAGCCAATGGCATGAAAAAGCCTTGGGGCTGCGGAATTTGCATAGCGTATCTCCGCCCCACGCAGTGGGTATAAAAGGAGGAAGTGAACGCAACCGCAGTATGTTTTCGCTTTGGAGCCAAGAGAACTCTTCACTCCTAAAGCCATTCTCACAGATTCAAGACTCTTCGAGACGAGCGTCCTCTTCAGTGTTGGTGTGACGGCGGAGATTCTGCATTGCCTGCGATCTGAGCAGTGGTCTGCCAGACTTTGCGCTTCTCCCTGGTCGCCTCAGCGCTGAAAGAGTGAATTTTCTCCTCTCATTGAAAGAGCTGCACGTGGCACGTCTTTTTAAAGATGTCTCGCCCGTGTTCTTCTGGGTGCGGTCGATTCATGTCATCTTCTGATGGTCACGATCGCTGCTCTGTATGTCTGGGCATTCAGCATGCAGCAGCAGCGTTCGTGGATGACTCATGTTCTTTCTGTGGGAACATGACCATCTATACACTGAGATCTAGACTCAATGATCTGACTAAAGTGAGAGTCCCCGTCCCCGCTACTCGATCTGCTTCTTCCACGAGAAGCTCTTTGACTCGCGGACAGGGTGATCTGACGGTGACGGTGTGGAACAAAGCCCCGACGATAGTTCCTCGGGCCACACCCCCCGCTCCAGTGTTAGAGCCAGCGAGCGCCAGTTCGATTCAGCCGTCTGCCTCTTCG